TACAGGGAGCATGTCCAGTGACTTACAGGTGACAGGACTACTCCATAGGGCACTGGTGTGGTGGACAAGTGACCATGCATTTGGTAAAGCCACAGAATGGTGTGTCATGAAGGGGCCTGTGGTGCAGCTTTTCTAGCCATGGTCTTTGTGACTCCCACCAGATTACTGCATAAGACAAAAAACTCACTGCCATCAAGTCATTTGCGACTCATAGAGACCCCTCCTTGGGTTTCCGAGGTGGTATCACTAGGGAAGTAGATTAACCAGTCTTCCTTCTGTGGAGTGGCTGGTGGGTTTGAACTGCCAGCTTTATGGTTAGCAGTGCATGCCTAAGGCATGACACCCATGGAACTCTAATGTTGGGATTGATTATTGCTGTGCTGCTGGGCTTAAAACAAGCCCTCCTGGAGGCAAAGGGGGGATCTGACAGCCATCAAGAGAGGAGCTGGAGGTGAAGATCCCTGCGCTGGACCTTCTTGGCAGAGACGACCCAGCAGAGACCACGAGGCACGAGACAGCGCGGTGGGCATTCCAGCCCATGGAGCGAGAAAGCAAACTGGATGTCCTTGGGCAGGAGGCTTGCTGGCAGAGTGGGGTGCACCTATCGGCAGAGCTCAAAGCGCTTTGTCCCACTTGCCCGAGCAGGGCAGAGGCCAGGGGCCAGACAGGCGTGGCTGAGGGCACAGCAGAGGGGAGGCTGTCCTGATGAACTGTGTCCTGAGTGCGTTCCTGAACCCGAGTTGCAGCCTGTCACTTCCCAATCAACCCCATAATCGTGAGTACTGTCTGTGAGTTCTTTGTGGCCACTGCAGCACATAATTGAACCCAGCAGAGAAGTAGTGAGTGCCATGGGAGGGACAGTTGGTGTCAGAATTGGTGTAAAGGTTTGGAGGGTGGCAGCATGTTTGGCTTCACAGCAATCAGCCTTGGGCTGCTGCTGGTGATTCTGTCTCCCTCTCAAGTTGGAGGTCAGAAGGTGACACCCCTGCACCCTTTTTGCAGGACCCTAATGTATGCAAACTAACAAAAAAGGCAGCCAGCATGGTAAAAACTCATCCCAGCATACACGTGGGGTCAGTGCACCATGCTGGCAAGACCTCACTGTTCATTCCCGCTGGCAGTCTTGCCGCTGCCTTGGTCTGATGCCGTGTCTGGGTTTGTTCACACAGAAGCAAACTAACCATGTCAGCATTCAAAAAAAAAAAAAAAAGTCTCCCCTCTCCTCACCTTCTAGCACTGTCTCATTTTGAGTCTTTTGGCTGATTCCACCTATAACAGTGAGCACCCCAGCTGGCCGGGTCCCTGGCATTTTGTTGCTTTGTGCAAATTCAGTATGTGACCAATGGGATTCCAGTTCACTCCAAAGTAGAGGGGCTTTCAAGGGATGGGGGCACCAGGACCACCCACCTCATCTCAAAGCCAAGAATGAGACCTCCCTCTTGGGTTGCCTGGACCAAGAGCTGGCTGAGTGCAGGTGCTGGTCTTTGAGGAAATACCAGGCCAGCAGTGTGCCTGGCCACCGTTGTCATAAAACTTGCATCTAGAGCCTGAAGACAGCGTGCCGGCCGTCAGAGCCTTGGGAGGAAGGGCAGAGCTGCACCCAGGGAAGGTGGGCGGCCCCAGGGACTGCTCTCCTGACCCAGCTCAGCCAGATCTCCCAGCCCCTCCCAGGCTTCCCCTGCCCGTCTGAGCTCCCACCCACCTTGTGTCCCAGCCCTCCAGTCACCTGCTGCCCCGGCCCACATTTCTAAGCATAGGACGCGTGCCTGCTTTGGAGCTGACTGAACCTGGGTCATTTCATAGTTACCATGGCAGCCTGCAGGGCCACTTCCAGAGCTTGATGGGACTTAAGATCCACATGGGGTAGTACATGGTGGGACAACTGTGAGACCCCCACCGAGGCTGGACACTGGGGGCCTCCTCCGGTGCTCCCTGCAGGTGTTTCTCTGATGTGGCAGGTGAGCTGGGTGCACACATGATCCTTGGTGAGGAGGGTGCCCAGGGTCAACCCTCAGACAGCAGGGCCCTGGGGGAGCCCCCCTGCCTCACTCCTGCGCCAGGAGGAGAGCCCCCTGCCCTCTGGACAGATGGTCTCGCGCATTGTACTTCTCCTTGTACCTCTCTCTGACCATGCTCCCTGGACCCCTAGCCCTGTACCCACCTCAACCTGGATGCCACACCCCCGGTGAGCCTCCCCCTCCTGGGGCTCCCCATGCCTCTTGGGGCCTCTTCTGGGCCACCTCCCAGCCCCTCCATGCTCAGGACCCCTCCACTATGACCACCTGACCTGGGGGCAGGGACCAGGCATGTCTGTTTTGGGGGACCTGATTTGAGTCCTTGCTTCTCAGCCAGCAACAAGGTGCCCTAAAGCGAGACACTCGGGGTGCTACCCCACCCACCTCCATGGACTCAGCAGGCGTAGTTCTGAGCGTGACTGTGCGCTCCACTTGCCCCCGCCCCCGCTGGAGCTCCCTCCTCCAGGGCCTGAGGAGGTTCAAGACTTTGAGGATTGTGGGAACCCCAAGTGGGGCTGGTGGGGGTATGAGTTGAGATGTGGGCTCAGGGTCTCGGCTGCTGTGCCCACAGACCTACCCCCTCACCGTGAGGCTCTGAGACACCTACCTCTGAGCCCTGGCAGGGCCAAGGCAGGAGGTGCCCTTGAAGGCAGGACTGCGTGGGAAACACAAGTGGGGAGGTGACCCTGACCCACCCACCCTCCGACTGGCCACTGTCCTGTGGCAGCCGACAACCATGGGTAAGGTGCATGGGAGGAAGTGGAACCTGGCCAGCCTGGGGGCTGTGCCCCCCTGGGCAGGCTTAGCTCCCACACCCAAGGCTTGTTCTCTCCCAGCTTAGCAGAGGGGACACCTGCATTTTTTTTTCCATGTGGTGGGGCTGCCTGCCTTTTCAGAGAAGCATCAAGGCAGTGGGTGCAAACATTTGCATACCACCTGCATGTCCACCCCAGCAAAGTGGCCTGAGGGCCCAGGGTATGTCAGGAGAACTCCTGCTTGGGCAGGTTAGGGGGCCCTGGGCTCACTAACAGCCCCCTCACTCTGGTCTCCCAGGACAGGAGTGTGCCCTGCAGGGCAGGTGGGAGCCACAGGAGTGAGGCTAGACCCTCCTGCCCCCACCTCCGCCCGAGGCCCACAGCTGGCGCAGGGAGGCCCTGCTCCTGGCTGCCCCTGCCCGTAGTGTGGACCAGAACCACATTTACAGCAGACCCAGGAGTTGTGTCACCGTCAACACGGGGAAGACACCGGAGCAGGAGGACCTGGCTGCAGGCTAGGCCCGGTGCAGAAGCTAATGGTGGTGCTGAGGAATTTCTCGGGACACAGTGGCTCCCCTCACCTCCTAGCACCCTAAAGTTCCCCAAATGGGGCCACCTGGCCCTGCCTAGCCCACCCATCCAGCACCAGGGCCTACAAGGGTAGCTGTGCCCTCATGCACAGGGCCCAGTCCATTGAACTCCCACAGGCTGGCCCCAAGGCCAAGGATTGGCGGCATGGGGGCCCTCCACAGAGCCTGCCCCACACAGGAGGTTCAGAGGCCTGGGCAGCACACAGAATGTGCGTCCCATGAGGCCACTGACGGCCCCACCAAAGACAGACACTGTTCTCTCCCATCGACACTAGCTCCAGCTATTCCACGGCCTCAGAGCAGATCCATCCCTGCAACCCCCAAGGCCCTGGCACCAGGTCCGCCCATGCCCACTGAAGACAGAAGGCCGGGCCCAGGACAGCCCCCGCACGGTGGCTCCTGTAGCACACTCCCTGCAGGGCAGTGACCGGTGGGCGCCCGTATCCCGCTGCCTCTATCCAAACAAGGCCCACTGGAGCAGCAGCAGATTCAGAGCTCCCAGCCGCCAGCAGCAGCCACCCTGCCCTCTCACGCTAGCCCCTGCCAGCCAGGCCCCTCACACAAACCCCTGACCTACAAGGTCCCTGTGCACTGGGAGGGAGAGGCACTTCAGGCCCCCCAACCAGGGTGAGGACCTCAGTGATCCTGGCCACTGAATTTGGCCCAAGACAGGCATGGCTTCCTAGGTCTACAAATACTAAGGAAGTGAGGTCAGTGAGCTGTGGTAGGTGTCAGGGTGACAGGCCACCATGTTGACCAGGGAAGGGCAAAGCTGACAGCCTGGCCAGGGAAACAGGCAACACAGGGCAGGGATGGTTGGTGCTAGGTCAGGCATTAACCCACGGCTGCATCTGGGCCTGGTGGCCACAGTGCACACCGATCATGGAGCACTGGGGACCCTGTCTCTGAGCAGTGCTGCTCTACAGCTAGGGACCGAGGACGGCTGGGCGGGCACAGGCCTCGGGGGCCAGGTTGCCAACTCGGCCATCCTCAACAACTTCCTTTCACAGTCTGAAAGCTCAGATTACAGGGGACCCCCAAGCAAAGCGTGCCTACACCCACCCCAGTCTGGTTCCAGTGTTCCCCAAGAAAGCCTCCCAGGGTGGGAAGAGCAATGGGGCATCCATGCTCCCAGCAATCCTCATGGCACCCACAGGTCTGTAGAAGGCACCAGGCACCTGGCCATGCCTCCCAGCTGCCCATGTGCAAGGGCAGCAGCAGCAGGCAGAAGACTGGGCTGGGCCCCAGGCTCCGGAAGTTCTCAAGGTTGCCACACCCTCAGCCTCCCGACCCCAAGGCCGACTGCAGGTCACACCATCCAATAATTTACTGCGATTCCACCTGCACCCAAGGGGCAGGGGAGAGGTGGAGGGCTCAGTTCGTGACAGTCTATGCAGAGCGTCCGTGGGAGGTCTGAGGTCACCTCTGTCCACTGTCCTGGGCTGGCCCGGCCCCGGCGGCACTTCCTTCCTCCCTTCCTGCCGAGCCTCCTTCCATCAGCACCGCCTCTTCGCATCCTGCACCTCCACGCCTGCGCCTGTGCTGGGCAGTGGACAAAAGAGGCTGCTGACTGACCCCAGGGGCGGCCCCGTGTGGCCCCCGCACAACCCAGAGCCTCTGCTCACCTTACTGCTGCCCCCGCTGCGTCAGGACAGCACACATTTGCAGTTCACGCAGCCGGCGCCACTCTCATCTGGGGGATTTAGCTTCTGCAGCTTGTGCTGCCGGATCTCCCGAACCAGCGTGTAGAAGGCGTCCTCCACGCCCTGGGGAAGGGCCCGACTCAGTGCCGAGTGAGGCCTGCCAGCTGCAGGCAGGGACTCCCACCTCTAGCTCGGGCAGAGCCAGTGCCTGCGGTTCCTGCCAGCCCTGACTCTGTAACTCACACCCTCCGAGGGCCACCCCCTCTCCAGGCTCAGTCCTCAGCTGCCCCTCCACGAATCAGGGTAGCAGGGACCCGCAGGCCCAGTCTGGCTCAGGGCCTGACCCCCTCACATCCAGCTCCTGTCTGAGCTACAGCCCAAGTTTGGGGCAGCCCCATTATGGGCTCAGACTTCCAGGGGCCCTCAAGGCACCCTATGGGGCAGGGGGTCGGGCCCCCAGGGCCACCGCTCTGGCCTGGCTCAGGGCAGCTCTCTCCAGGGACCCCCACCTCCCCAAGGGCTGTGTCAGCCAGGCTGCAGGGCTGGGAGCCCTGCCATGGCCCTCGCCACCCCCTGCCCTGCCGCCTGGGAGACTTACAGCTCGAGGGGCCGCTGGGGCCGCCGGGTCCCGGGGGGTCCCAAGGGGTCCCGGAGCTGGAGCCAGAGCCAGAGCGGCTGCCCTGAGTGGAGGGAAAGGTGGCAGTGAGCGTGGCCCCGGGGTGTGTGTCCCTGCACTAGCTCAGGGCAGCGAAGAGGCTCACCTGGCGGGTCTTGGCTGAGGTCTCAATGTAGGGAAGGCCATAGCTGCGGGCGAGGTCCTGGGCCTGCCGTGACTCTACGGTGCGGGCAGGCAGGTCACACTTGTTCCCCACCAGCACCATGGGCACGTCGTCCGAGTCCTTCACCCGCTTGATCTGCTCCCTGCAGGGACAGGGCCATGAGCCGCCACAGGCCTCAGATGGCTGCATCTGGGTGCACAGCGGCAGCAGGCAGCCCTCACCTGTACTGGTGAACGTCCTCAAATGACTTGGTGTTGTTGATGGCAAACACGCAGAGAAACCCCTCGCCCGTGCGCATGTACTGGTCTCGCATGGCACTGTACTCCTCCTGCCCTGCCGTGTCCAGGATGTCCAGCAGGCACGTCTCCCCATCGATGACCACCTGCTTCCGGTATGAGTCCTGCAGGGGCGCAAGTCAGGGAGCTGCCGGCACTGCCCTCGGGGCAGAGCCTTTGGGCCCCCAGCCCCTCCCTTGCCCGTCCGGGCCCCTGGCCATCCCCACCCCTGGGTCCTAGAACTACAGGAGCAGAGGGCAGGCAGCCCACGCCACCTCAAGGGGCTGTGGGAGGGAGCAGGGCAGGCCTAACTCGTGGACTGGTCCGTTCTGCCAGCCACATCTGCCCTGCATGCATGCCTCCCAGGTAGGCGCACACATGAGCCCGCTGTGGGCACGCGTCCCAGGCGTGGGCGCCTCCCCGGTGAGTGCCCAGCAGCGAGCAGCCCGGCTCACCTCAATGGTAGGGTCGTACTCATCCACAAAGTGGTTCTGGATTAGCTGGATCGTCAGAGCGCTTTTCCCCACACCCCCTGCGCCCACCACCACCAGCTTGTATTCCGTCATTGTTCTTCCGGGTGCGCCGCTCAGGCCACCGCTGGGGTGCCTCCTGCCCCACCTGCCAAGGAAGGCGTTGCTCAGCCCCAGACACAGGAGGGGCAGCCAGCACCCAGGTTGGGCCCAACTCCCGGCCCTGACCTTTCAGTGGCAGGGGACCCAGGACAGCGGTCAGCTGCTCACCTGTGGCACCTCCAGCCCAGGAGGTGACAAAGGGGCCCCACCTGCACCCACTAAGTGAGCGAGGCAGGAGCTGGGCCCCTAAAGGCAGGGCGAGGAGCCGAAAGCGTCTACCGACCACGCACCCAAATGAGAAGCTGCTGGGTCGGCAGAAACCCAAACAGGCAGTGCCCGAGGCCTGAGGCTCCCCTCAACAGGTCCTGCCACAACTGGGGTGCTCTGCAGCATGTCTGGACAGGCGGACACCAGCACCCATTTTCTGAGTGCCTATTTGGCACCCTGCACCATTCCCGACGCAAGGGACCCTGGGGGCTCCACCTGCACTCCCAGCAGCAGCCCAGCAGTCATTAAAGTGGGGGACACCCGGGGTGTCGTATGAGAACTTTGGGAAAAACAAGGCAGGTGCGGCAACCACAGGCCCAGGAGGCCTTCCTACTGTTGCAAAGGCCTAAAGGAGGGAGCCGGACCAGGTGACCAAGGGGCCCGGAGCTGAAGCCCCAGCGTGGCGCCCCCCGACTGATGACATCCAACCAGGGCATGACCCTCGTGAGGCGAGTACAAGGCCACTTCCTCAGCCCCAGACCAGCAGGACGTGGGACGGCCGCTCGGGGGCGCAGCTTACCCCGCGGGGCGAGCTGCCCAGCGTCAGGGACGCGGGCGGGGGTCAGCTCAGGGCGCCCCCGAGCGGTCCCGGTAGGACCCCCAGCCGGGAGGGCCGCTTTGCAGACACCCTCCCGCGCGGCGCAGCCCGAAGCCCGCAGCGCCCATCCGGCCGCGCGC